ACTTTGTCTGAACTTGGCTTCTGTACACAGACACTCCTGTCATTACATTTTCTGCTAGAAATACAGGAAAGCACAAGATACAGTGGTGATGAGTGAGGCTTTCAGCTACACAGACCTGGGTTCAGCCCTCTCTGCCCCTCGGGAGCCCAGTGGCCTCGGATGTGTTGTTCATCCTCTCCGCAATACCATCTCCTTGTCTAAAATGTGTAGTTGATGATAATACTTTCCTTAGTGGGGATTAGGAGGATTTACAGAGTGTATAATATATAGCAAGTTGCTAGGCACGTTATAGATGCTTAATAAGTGATAGCTATTACTGTTCTTAATTTTAGAGAAATTAAAGGAAGTCTACATTTAGTTTTAACGTGTTCTTTGGTTAGTTGTTTCCCGTCCATTTGTTACCTTGGGAAAGTAAGTATATCTAAATATAAAATTAAACAATTTGAATGAAGTGTTTTACTTACAAGTATTATAATTGTAGGTGCAGTTATCTTTGAATCATCCATAAGTTCTTTAACTGTATTGCTCTAAGCTTTCTCAAAACAGTAACATCCTCTGACTATCTTTACTGATTTTATTATGTTTTTGTTTGTTATGACTGAAGAAACTATCTAAACCAGCTCCCTTAGACAACTCCAGAACAGTCGTGTGCCATTTAAAAGTAGAGACAGAGGGCGCCTGGGTGGCTTAGTCGGTTAAGCGTCTGCCTTCGGCTCAGGTCATGATCCCGGGGTCCTGGGATGGAGTCCTGCTTTGCGCTCGTTGCTCAGTGGGGAGCCTGCTTCTCCCTCTCTGGGAGGGAGCTCCAAGAGCTCTTGCTCTCTCTAGCTATCTCCGTCACTCTCAAATAAATGAATAAAATCTTTGAAAAAAATAGAGACAGAGAAGTCGGCTCTGCTTCATGCGGAGGGAGTGCCATTCATCAAGAATTAAGCAAGATGGGCGGCACACTACCTTGCATCTGTGCCATGCTTACAGAAACCCTGCAGCTAGAGTAAGCATTATTATTGTTTTATCAGTGGGGGAAATAAAGTTCATGAAGTTCAGTACCTTGCCTAAGTTCACCCACATAATAAGTGACTAGCCAGCAGTCTGATCTAGATTCTAATCTAGATCATCTGATCCCAGATCCAGTATGTTTTCCCAGATACCACTCACCTTTGTCTTCCACTTCTCTGAATATGCTCTTCAGAGTGTGTAGCTTCAGTACTTTGTCTTTAAAGCATATACATACTTGATTTCAAATGTAGGGAGATACCAAAACTCGGCCTTTTTTTTAATCTTTCACATTTTTTCCTGTGTCACTGCCCTGCTTTGATGGAGTAAACACTAGAGAAGGAACAGCAGTACAGATGAGTTTCTCACATTTCATAAAACTTTGCTGTAAAGATCAAAACTAAATTCTTCCTCGATCAGATCTCTGCTATTTTGTTTTTAAAACAGCATGTGTTACTCTCTCTTGCCTACTCTAAATTGGGCCCAGTTATTCAAAAGGGACTTAATACTTAGCATATGTATTTGCAAGTTAAAAGTGCTCTCAAAGTACAAGTTTTCATTAATAAATTAGAGATAGTATTATCTGAAGACAGGGAGCTGTTGGAGAGGTAAAACTTTACCTATACCCATTTAGGTTTTCAGCTGGGATTCTTTTTTTTTTTTTTTAAGATTTTATTTATTCATTTGAGAGAGACAGAGACAGAGAGCACAAGCAGGGGGAGAGGCAGACTCCCGGCTGAGCTGGGAGCCTGACATGGAGCTGGGTCCCAGGACCTGGAGATCATGATCTGAGCCACCCAGGCGCCCCCAGCTGGGATACTTTAACCAAAAAAAACAAAAACAAAACAGATTAACAAGAAAAACAGAAGCTTATTAACATATGTATCTTTTATTATTATTATATGATTATTATATAATATAATAATTATAAAATTAACATATTGACATATAAATATAAATGTATGCCTCATTTGAATATGGTAGATACTCAGGAAAATGAGCAACTCTCAAAGATACGGTTTTAGAATTTAGGATTAAATATCATCTCAATAAAGAAAGGGTGGGGACATGTAGACCTCTTAGAGAAAAGTAAATTATTTTTAGGGAAGACGAATGGGCCCTTAGAAGAATAGTTGAGAGGTATGAATCTGTGACAGAGTTTGTCTTGGGGAATTTATGACAACGGACTTCCTTTTGGAGGATTTATCTTTAGGCAGATAAGGGGAGTTCAGAGAAAGTCTTACTGTGCATTTGTTGTTTTTCAAGTGCCTACAGCTCAGAATAATCAATACACCAAAGTGGCATATTTCAGGGTGGCATATCCTGAACTCCTACAGCAGTATTTTGCTTCATGAATTTGCATGTCATCCTTGCTCAGGAGCCATGCTAATCTTCTCTGTATCATTCCAGTTTTAGTGTATGTGCTGCCGAAGCGAGCACCCTACAGCGCTATTTCAGGCGGCAAGTTCTGCTGCCCTTCAGAGTTCAGATTCATTTGCCATTATATCCCTAGTGCCAGTGGCTGGCACCGTCTCTGTGTGTCCAGGATATAGTAGATGCTCAGGAAATGTTCATTAACATTCGGTGATTGGATGGATGAAAGGGAGAAATGGGAGAAGGAATGTTAGCTCCTTCATTCATTCTGCAAGTGGAATATTAATGCATTTGTTGGCTTCCCTTATACATTTTTTACAGCTTCTGACAGCTTCAAAAGTTCTGTCCAGTCGTAAGAACAGGATTGTTGCCCTCGTCCCTCCAAATAAATACCAGCCTATATCAGGCCATCCTAGAGACTGGGTTATGCTGACCTTTTAAGCTCCTTAAAACTACTACATGAGAGTAATAATACTAATTGACTCTTCTGTTTGCAGTGACTCTTTGCATTCACTATGTTGTCTGATTTTTAAGACAATTGCCTTTACAAAACAAAGTCATGTATTAGAGCTCAGACCCTGTAGCTAGGCTTCGAAATTTCAAATCCTGCTCCACTACCAAATCACTATATGATTTGGGAAAATGACTTAACCTTTCCAAGTATTAGTTTTCTCATCTGTAAAACAGGGATAATAATTATACCCTTATAATAAGATCATCGTAGAAATTAAATGAGATAATGTAGGGAAAGTTCTTGGCATAGGGCCTAGGCTCAGAAAGCCTTCAGGGATTGATTGTCATCTTAGTGGTGGTAGCAGTCGTTCTACATCTGCCGTTCGGCACTTTAATTTTCTTCAGAGTAAGGACTGTGTTTTGTTTATCTCTGCATCCCCTCCTAACATAGCACCTGCCATGGGTTAGGTACTCAACAAATAGCCATTGGATTAAATAAAGTTGGCAGATTTCTTTTTCAATCAGGAAGTTGTTTTCCACATGACTGAACTGAAGCTCAGTTATCCGCAACAGGTTTTGAGCAGCTGCTATCAATCAGCCGAACAGATTTACGTCCTTTGATCATACGGCAACCTTAGAAAAGGTTCAAATGGTGTCCCAGGATTCAGACCCATATCCTGGAATCCCGAGCCCAGAAGCGTTTGCTTCTCTTACAAAATATACAAGAATTCTTCCTGGGTCAGTTACTAGTATATAAGCATTATAGTATTTGGGAAAGTATGAGTTAGAAAATGAATTGATTATCTAAGTTTTATTTATTTGTTAGCTCTCAAAGAAAGCCCTACATGGAAACATTATACCATTCTCAGTATACTAGCTTTTTGAATTCTAGAGAAAAAAGGACAACAGGTAACTGAATGTGAATATGACAAAACGAAGGAATAAGAAGAAAAGAGTCTGAACAGATATAGAAAAGGTAGGATAAGTGAGTGCTTTACAAATGAAAGCAGATGTATGAAATTACAAGCTGTCAGATCAGCAACGGAAATGAAGATGATAAAGTGGTTCCTTACATAGATTATAATTATTCATTTTGCCCAGTCCTGTCTCCTTTCCCCATAATGTTCCTGGGAAGGGGGAGGAGGTGGGAAGCTGTTGCAAAAAATGGTGCTTCCAACAAAAGAAAGGAAAAAAAATCTAAGAAGCAAGGACATTTCTGATCACAAACAGTTTATTTTGTGATTTGTGATTTGTGTTGTTTCTATAGAATCACAATTGTTTTCCTATGGAATATTTTTCAACTGCTTGTTCTGATTAATGAAAAGGATTCAGTTGCAACAACAGGAAGTGGTAACTGTAAAGTTTCTTCACAATCAATGCCGTGGAGGCAGTCAGTGTGGCTTACAAAACAAGCGTCGTTAATGGGCCCGACTGTGACAGCAGTGGCAGATGGATTGCCAAGAAATGAAGTAGTTTACATAGACCTGCCTGAAAAGATGTGTTTAATAATTGCGCCCATAATTAGGTTGATTTGGGAAAAAAATTAAATGACAGTCTAAGGAACACGGTTAGGTTTGTCTGTGAAGATTTTGACATTTTTCCTCCAAGAAATGCTGCATAGATACTCTCCCTAAATTTCTCATTACCTTTAGAAAAAAATAATTGGAAGAAATTATATTTTTTAAACTCTGAATTATGTAATTTTTATATATAAAAGAATAAATGTAACATATGTAACTTATGAAGCATAATAATTAGGGTGGATATTATTTTATGAGAATTTTAAACTGGTTCTTTCCCATTCATAAGATTTTTGTTACTAATTTCTAAGCAGCAAAACTAGAGACATTTAAACACAGACATAAAATGGCAATAAATATGCATGCTTCTAAGAGTTTATTTATATTGCAAACGTACACATCTCTATATCTGAGGCTCTTCTTCCAACACCCCCTGAGGATAAGTGCTAGATATTAGATTGCAGTTAACAGTACAGTGTGCTGCTTCAAAGGCCATTTGGTAGAGATCCCTTCTCCCTGTTTCCTTTTATCAAATTAATTGAGTTATTGGTTCGCTTTCTTTGAATCTGAGTTGTTATTTTTTTACTCTCAAGTAATGCAAACATCTTAAACAGTATTGCTTCTGAATTCTTTTTTTTTTTTTTTCCTCTCATTTAGTGATCTCTAGTAACTACCAGACCTGTCTTGGCCTTCTGATGCATTACCCACTAATTGGGGACGTACACTCACTGATTCTCAAGGCCCTGTTCCTTCGAGATCCAAAGGTAAGCTTTCCAAAGAGAATATGTACAATTTTAAGTTGGGTGACAAATTGGTTTCTCAGCATAACTCCCAAGAATTCCTAATGGAGAATTTGTGTAATGACAGGTGAATTGCCTAATGACAGAATTTGCCTAGAGCTGTAGGCAAAACTCACATACCTCACTGGCTAGCAGCTTAGCATGTAAATTAAGTGGACATCGCCATGAGAACCTGGAACACACATCTCTTGTCCCTCAGAAGGTTGTTCTGCCCTCTTCCTTCCTCATGACTCAAGGAAGTAGTTCAGCAGCTGCTTCTCGTTATAACCACACTTCATTATAACCAATGTACCCCTCCCAGGGACCAACTTATCCAGGGAGAGCCTTCGGGGCCATTTGAGGACCAAGACATTAGAGCTGTAAAAGGGACTGGTTCTGTAAAAGTTTATGACACAATGAAATACTAAATCATTTCATGTGAGGAATATATATTTTTTATTTTGTGGGTGAAGAGTAACCTAATAAAGATTTAGACAGACTTTAATGCTGATTTCTCTATTTGAACTTAAAGCAAGCCACCAAAATTTTCTTTACACTTCAGAGAAAAGTGTGCTCTTTTACAACTAATGTTATATTTCTTGAAAATAAGAACATTTAATGATCTAAAAAAATCTGTGAATCCTTGATGCTTTTGAGCCAAACAAAAATATTGGATGAAGTAGAAGAGAGAGAGCTTCAAACACAAGTATGAGAATGCCAGGCATTGGGTGGTAATCCCAGCCTTTGGCTCCTTGGCAGAATTCCCAACAGTCATGTTGGCAGTTGTCGAACTGTCTTTGAGTCAGTCTGTCTGTGGATCCATTGCCAAGCTCTGTCTGATCGACTTGGGCCTCCAAGTTTAACGTAAATTTTAGTTCTAAAGGATTTCTGCTTTTCTCTCGGCTGTTGACTTCAACATTTGAGTATGACCTCTATTTATTCTTTGATAGATTTAAAAGATTTTATTTCCTTGTGCCTATACCCATTTTCTACAAAAATACACAATTTTATATCATTTCTCCTATACAATATTTCATTAAGTATCAGAGATATAATCCATCATTTCTCTGATATAAAGATAGCATATTTTTTTTCCTGGTAAGGTTTAGGAGTCTGATTATAAGATTAAAAATCCCATATTTTTACATATTTTGTTTTATAAAAATCACCACAATTATGAAATATCTATAAAAGGAAAAAATGCGGTTTCTCGTCAATGAAGTATATGAGTTTTGGTCTGTAAACTTAAGGTAAGCTCTGTCAGCTCAGCATTAGGAATTCTTAGAATCATACAGAGTGTGGAAAAAAGTGTTAAAATAACTATTTGAATTCTCTACCTATATGATTTATTTGGTTTACTGAAGGGAGAAGTGAATGTGTTATCTAAACCTATCGATCTTGGTAATTTTTCCCTGGCTAAATATGGTTGATCTTGCTATGAATCATCCACTCTTCTAGATGTAGGATTCTATATAATAAATCAATCAGTGTTATTAGTTGAATCTATGATTTTAATAGAGTACTTTTTATCTCAGTAAGGTAGTGTACATAATATTAAGTATAATGAAGCCAATTCTATAAGCATTAAAAAATATATTCTCTAAGGATTAAGAGAAAAAAAATAGCATAAGTATCTCTAAAAAAAAGTATTCCCCACTTTTACATTTAGGGTCTAAGTAAAAACATGATCAAGATAATGGTCCAAAATATAGGACGTTAAGCTGATATTTCTGAGACAGAAAAAATTGATGATGAGGAGGAGGGAATCACATTTAAAAGGTTGTTGAGAACAAGTTTATAGAATGATGATATCTGTAGGAAAAATAAAGAAAGCTGTATAGTTTAAGAGGCTTTCACATGGCTAACCCAGCAAGGTGATAGGTTTAGTTAAAGGACAAGGAGACTGAATTAGAAATCAGGACACTGGGGCGCCTGGGTGGCTCAGTTGGTTAAGCGACTGCCTTCAGCTCGGGTCATGATCCTGGAGTCCCGGGATTGAGTCCCGCATCGGGCTCCCTGCTCAGCAGGGGGTCTGCTTCTCCCCCTGACCCTCTTCCCTCTCGTGCTCTCTATCTCTCATTCTCTCTCAAATAAATAAATAAAATCTTAAAAAAAAAAAGAAATCAGGACACTGGGTCAAATCTTGACTCTGCTAATAACCATCCTTGTGATTTGGGGATACTCATGCTTGCTGAATCTTGGTCTTCTCTATTGGGGTTGAATTAAATTGCCTCTAATGACCCGCCCAACCAGAGCTCCTTTGTCCACAAAAAGCTGACTTACAATGATCTAATAAGATCCAGTCCAGTGCTACAAAGGTACAGGTGGAACACACACACACACACACACATCCACACATAGAGCAAGTTTATATATGACATAGAGATCCACATGTGGACGGAGTTTTCAATGTAGTAATGTCATTATAAATTCATATAGGAGGCCATTTATACTAAGGAGGAAGAAAAAAGGGGAAGATGATGCTAGTACCCCACCTGTATCCTCTAAAAATCCAAACATCAGAGTGCTTAATTTTTTTCTATTTATTATTAACAATGAAACACTTAAAATACTTGAATCATTCCCAATTCAAGTAGATCAGAGTAAGTATATAAACACACGAGTCTCTGTGAAACAAACTAGTAGAAGGATGAGATTTGAGGCATGAAAGTACATTTTCACATAGCCCAGTACCTTGTGACAGTAGTGTTGAGTGCTGCTGACAGACTCAATAAAATAAAAATAAACAAGGAACTCTGAGCCCTCCAAGTTCATTGCCAGCTTCAGAAAAGCACTGTGTCCTACCGCTTTCCATAAATCCCAGTGGAGATTGCTCAGTTGAGAATAGACTCTGCAACTAGAGCATGAGACACTGGGCTTTAATTGTTTTATATAAGATGTAGGCTTTACTGTGAAAAGATTTCTCATTTGAACAGACTGAAATAATGGGGCTGTGAAATGTAATAATAGGATCGTCCTCCTTCATAGTTTCTAGCACTTTGATGTGCTTAATTTGGTCCTTACAACAAGCTATGAGGTAGGCAAAGCAGGTTATCTTTCTTCATTCTTTTTCAGTGTAGACAGATTAAGGTTATGTGGCTTTCCGAAGGCCAAAAACTTATAAGCTTCCAAGCTAGCTAGAATGGCTCCATGACCCTTACATGTATCCATCCCCTCCTAAGATTCCCAGCATACCTTCTGCTTCCTTCAGGAAGCCATTCCCAGGCGCAGATAGAACATGTTTTCCCCTTTGAGTCCCCATAAGGACTTCATATTTTAGCTATTTGCTTATTTATTGCATCCATTTTTCTGTATGATCCTGCTCATTTATTAGCATTTAGCTTTGTGTTCTGCAGCAGTTGGTATTAAGAAAATAATGGTAGAATTGAATTCTGACGCAGTTGCTAAGCCTCTTCCCATACACCATACTGACTCTAATCTAGGTGGATCTCACTCACCTTGCGTATTTCTGGAACCCGTACCTACATTCCATGGAAGCCATTGCCAATTGTGTATTTGTCAGCTGCCATTTTTATCAGGATGGTTAATGAACCCTACAACTTGAACTTAAAGGGCATCTAGTTCCTTAATTTACTGTGTGTCAGAATTGTTTGAAAACCTATTACCACCTTGAAGTATTATGGAACAAAAAAGACATAACGAAGAATCTAGTTAATATACCTGACTGTGACTGTCAGAATTTCAGAACTGCAAGGAACCTAGAGATCTAATCCAGCTGCTGCTTCTGTAGATGAACAAACTAAGGATCAAGGTGAAGTTAGAGACTTATTTAATACAGCTTGTCAATGGCAGAGCCAGCAATTGAACCCAAGTCTTCCAACCACCTTTCCACACAGGAACCATGGTTTTAAAAATAGTAGAATCCTATTTACTAGTATCTGTCATAAAAATTATTCAATTTGTAATAGACATTTAATTTGCATCTGTAATAAATAAAACTGCCATGTATATAAGTGAAGTGGACCTAGAACTATTTGAAATTTTCTTAAATGTATGCTATGTAAAGAGACCAAATGTCAAATATCTGTTTGTAGCATCCTATAGTCTGTTCACCGTAAATATGGTTTCTATACTTAGTTCCTCAGACCATGTTCCTAATTCTCATTTTCTTGTCTTTATCATATTAGAACCACTGAGCAGATTTCCAAAAACAATCCACTAAATGAAGTAGAGGGATAGAAGGAGGACGGTCGGAAAAATATGAAGTGATTAAAAAACATTGTTCTAACTAGTTGTTCAAATTCAAAAAAAAAAAAATTTAAAAACCCAATTAGAAACAAAAGTCATAGAAAATGTGAACATATTGTGTTCCTTAAATAACCAGATGTTCTCTCCTTCCTGAAGGCAGTAAGGGCTAGGAATAAAAGGTTTAAAACTATTGTTTTAAGTTAACTGTGAATTTTGCAAATCTGTTTTTACCCTTTAGCAAATAAAATTCTAATACGGAAACATAAGCAAAGTAATTTTCATTTTTCGGTGTTCTCTTATTTGTGTTGTGTGTTGAAGTGTTAACCTTATCACAAAGACTTATTACAAATGAAATACAGTACATGGATTAACATTTTAGATTATGCAGTAAGAATTTGACAGCTACTGTTTGTTTTGAAGACTAGAATATTCTCCTAAAAATATTTCTAGTAAGTTTGCAAGCAACCCTTTTAGCAGTGACTGCTATTGTTTATGGAAGAAAATTGCTAGAAATAAGACAATTTAATTTCATAGTCATTCTTATACACAGAAACACACTATAAAAAATATAGTGTACAATGTTCTTATGCTTGGCCAATTCTGTTTTGGCTTTTATTTGGAGTTATATTAAATTTGCCTTTTTAAATTATAAAAAGTCTAAATATTCACTTTTCAGATTTTATGCAGGTAATAGATTTTTACTCTTCTAATTCCAAAAAACCCCACTGTAGGTGTTACTTTTTAAAAATATCAAATGGCTTTGGTAAAATGTATCA